CTCTGGTGTGGAGTCTTCTGACTAGCTTTCAGAGGTTCTTTTTGAATCTGGGCTTATGACCACATTTGGATATCAGCCTGGGGTAATTGCTGCTTGCTGCTGGAATAGGGTGCTGGCAGAAGCTCAGTCCAGAGCCCGTGAGCCCAGCACAATGAACTTAGAGCGTTTCAGTGCATTCTCTGTTTGCTTTGTGAGTGAAAATTTTAAAAAGCGGGGATCTGGGCCAGACTCTAGTACCCTGATTCTAATTTTAGGACTTGGCTACCCAGTCTCATTCCTCTTACCTCTTAATTTTCTGGTCTGGCAGCAAGAGCTTCGGGCGGGTAAATCTACCTGGATGCCATCTTCCCAACAAAACCATTTTATTTGCACACAATCTACATATAGGATAAATGCAATTCAATAGTTCAATCACATCAAGAAAATTTGTACAATCATTACACAATGAATTTTACAACATTTTCTTTTTTCTTGTACTCATTGTTATTAGCTTCCCATTTCCCCCAACCTCCTCTGCCATCACTCCAAGAAACCATTAATTCAATTACTGTCTCCATAGATTTATCCACCCTGGAGTTCATATACAGAAAAACATACCAAAAAACAAAAACTAATAAGAATAATAAAATAAAACAGGGAAACCTCAACAGAAAAGAAAGTAGATAAATATTAAAAGCTAGAAAAACTTTAAAATAGGTCAAATGGGAGATTAAATTTTAACCTAACTGCATGCGAAATAATTCACTTTTTTTTTTTTTGTATCCAAAATGGGCTTATTAGAATGGCTTCCCACTCATCTCAATTCAGGGTCTTTCAGTGCTGCTTGTGTCTGAAGGAGTATCCTTCTGTAAGCCTTGCTTTCCCACCTGTAGGCTGACAGAGGACAGGAGAGCAGCCAACACACAAATGACTGTCTGTGCATGGCTGTAGACTGGTGATTTTATAGCAGCCTGGGCATTTGACATCCATGAAGTAAGAATTGGGACTCTGTACCAGGCGCTTCTTCTTGTGTTTTCTCTTCTCCTCTGCGGGAGAGGGATGAAGGGGATCCTTTGTGAGAGGCATGATCGCCGGGGTGGTCATCAGCTCTGGCGAAATAATTCACTTTTGATTGGGCCTTTTTAAAAAGAAACCCTAAGGACATTGTGTCAAAAGTTTTATGGTGATAACTTGTTTACAGCCACCCACTTATCACAGAGACGTGCTCATGTGTTTTTGTTTAGAATAAACCCTTGTATGTATGAACTAAAACCTGGTAGTAATACCTGTTGACTTATGGTCATATAAACATATATGTATAGACAGGTAGATAAATAGAGGTAAAGAAAGATGTATCTCTTCCTTGTAACAAATGCATGCACACACACAGTGGTGGTGGTGGTGGTGGTGGCTTAAAAATTTGTGGAAAAAACAGAATGGAAAGATAATGGGGGTATGTGTGGTTGGTAAAAATGGTTAGCATGCATGGTTTCTAACCCAAAGTGTAACAAGTCCACCCAGAAGTGCTTGAGAAGAAAAGCCTATCAACCTACTTCTCAAAAACTCATCATTGAAATCCCTATGGAGCACAGTTTTATGCTGACACTGATGAGATTGCTATGAATTAGAATCTTCTCCCCACCAATTGGTAAATTATATGTAATAGACACTACTGTGCAACTTATAAAGTCTAAAACTTTTACTAGGAAGCCCTTCATTGAAAAACTGTGACTACTCTTTAAAAGAAGTGTATCTTTTAGAAGGCTACACCACCCCACCCTGTAGATAACCCCACAAGAGACTCACAGAGGCCATGCTCTCCTCAGTCTACATGCTTTCTGCTACAAAGGTTGGCCTCATCAACCCCTCCCAAATTCTCCTCTATCTTGAAAAGACAAAAAAAATACATATCCCACTACCTCTTATCAATTCTAAATTAGAGTCTACCTCCTCTACTCAAGTCCTCCCTCAATGCAAGAACACTTTGTTCTAATAGCCTGGAATTCTGTGATGCTCACCGTTCTGACACAATTGCTGAAGACAAAATGGGTGCATAAGTTAATATGGTGAAGAAAGCTGATGGTGCCCAGCTATCAAAAGATAAAGCATCTGGGATTTTAAAGGCTTGAAGGTAAACAAGCAGCCATCTACCTGAGAAGCAATGAAGCCCACATGGAAGCACCACACTAGCCTGTGTGATCATGAGGCGTCCATGGGATCAGGTATCAGGCATCAAAGAACAAAAAATCATATACATGTGAATTAAGGGAAGCATGGAACGGAGACCCAAAGCCCATCTGTAGACAATTGGACATCCCCTTACAGAAGGGTCACAAGGAAGAGATGAATCAGCCAGGGTGCAGTATAGCTCCGACGAAACACACAACTTTCCTCTAGTTCTTTAATGCTTCCTCCCCCCAAATATCATGACCCTAGTTCTATCTTATAAATCTGTATATACCAGAGCATGTACAAGGGTGCAGATAAGAGCTCTCAACACACAGAATCCAGGACAGATAAACCCCTCAGGACCAATAATGAGAGGAGCAATACCATGAGGGTAGGGGAAAGGTAGGGGGAGAAAGGGGGCACTAATCACAATGATCAACATACAACACCCCCACCCCCTAGGCAATGAACAAAAGAAACATGGGTGAAGGGAGAGAGCAAATGGTGTAAAATATGGAAATAAAAATAATTTATAAATTATCAAGGGTTCTCAAGGGTGGGAGGGTGGAGAAGGGAAGGGGGAAAAGAAGAGCTGATACCAAGGGCTCAACTAGAATGAAAATGTTTTGGAAATGATGATGGCAACATCTGTACAAATATGCTTGATACAACTGATATATGGATTGTTATAAGAGCCCCGAATAAAATGACTTATTAAAATAAAAAATAATAATAACAGCAGGAAAAATAAATAAATTAGAGTCCACCAATAAGCACTGCTCAAAAATTGAAAGTTGAAAAGATAGGCCATTGCCATCAAGAGGGAGCTTGCCAATAGATGTTGTCAGATGGGTGTGCATTCAGAAGAGCCTACATGGTCTCCCAAATAACTATCCATCTGCAGTCTGAGGGATGGTGAAAGCATCCTCATTCACTGTCATCGAGTCAATGCCAACTCATAGCAGCCCTATAGGACAGGATAGAACTTCCCCTGTGAGTTTCCCAAACCATAACTCTTTACAGGAATAGAAAGTCCCATCTTTTCCTCACAAATGCATATCAGCTGGTGGTTTTGAACTGCTAACCTTACTGTGAGAACCCCGTGGTATAAACACTATGCAACCAGTGCTCCAAAATCATCATAGAGATTCTTAAAATTCAGAGATTTTGAAGGGAACCGTTGAGAAATATCTTTATTATTGCAGACCAAAAATCATTGGTTGGAAATTCCTAGGAAACTGATTAAAGACCACCTATTTCAAAGCTATACATTAAGGCCATCCTTGGTAGTTACAGAATCTGTTGTCAATTTGAAACTTAAGAGTGAAGGGGTAGAGGTTAGCCTGTCAATCAGGTCGCAGCTTGATGACCTTATTTGGAGGCGATAAGGAGATCAATAGCTTGCTGGAGGAGGGACACACGCTCACTACCTGCGGGGTATTTCTGCTCACAAACCACATGGAGACACACTGATGGAGCCAAAGCCCTCGACCTGGAGGAGTCACGTGGAGACCCACGCCAGCACTGAGATACTTCCATAGCCATTGGAGCTACAAGACTTTCCAGCCACTGGCCTGTGATCTCCCTGCATTCGACGTCATTGCCTGCATTGCGTGAGTCTGAAGTGGAATTTATAGATTGGTATCAGACATTTGGGCTAATAGTGGACTTAAGGACTTGATCTGAATTGGGCTGGGATGTTTTCTCAATATGCAATTGCTCTTGTATATAGAGCTCTTTTTTATCCACATATGAGTGTCTATGACTTGGTTTCTCTAGTTAGCCTGGACTAACACACCTTCCTAGACCTTCTCTCCTAGACTCTGATGGTCACCAAAATACAAATACTTTGGAATGCAAAGAGCAACTTCTGTTTTCCTGACAGGTCAGGTAAGCAGGACAATCACTTGGCTTTCAAGGTCATCCCTTAGACACACTGACCTTTAGGGCTCAAGGCTTCAGAGCCTTTGAGTCACAGGCTGGTTCCCTTTTTCTTCTCGCTTACCCAGGAAGGGTCATATGTTTATGAGGTACACGTTGAATTACTTGCTCATGATCATTTAGGGAAGCATTTATGGGAATAGATAATCATGTAGGCTTTGGAAACCGAAGTATGAATCTGAATCTACTCTTGGCTGTGTGACCTTGGGCAAGTGACATGACCCCTTAGGTTCCTGCTCTCCATATCAGTTAAAAGAAGATGATGACACATTCTCACAATTTAATAATAATTTTCAGAGTCAGCCTTGGCTCCTTGCTGTAACATTAGCTGCTTCTAATCTCTCTCCGTTCTTTCCCTACCTCCCTTCTGACGAACAGAGGACCAACACACACCAAAAAAAACCCCACTCAATTCTAAGTCTCTGGTCTCACACTTCTGATGGCTGTTTCCTTCTCTGTTCGAGTTGTTGACCCAAATACAGCACAGCTAGATTTAAATAAACCTCACATCCCACAAGGAAGAGTCAACAAGAGTAGTTGTGCATTACAGATTTTATTGACTGCCTGAAGGCTACGGATTGTGATATGGCATGTCCCACTCTGGCCAGCAGAATTGGAAGGCTGACCATTCTCACTTCTACATCTGTCTCTACCCTGCCCCCAACCCTTTCCAGCAATCCTCACTGTTCCCCTTGGGCTAAAGAAGGACCTTCATTTTCTGTTCAAGAGAAAATTAGCTCCTTGTTTCTCCCTCTCTTTTTTAACTTTGGAGACAATCTCTCTTCAATCAAATGACTCATCAGATTATTTTGCTAAAGAAAATATTTTTTTTCTCATCTGCCTAGTTAAATAAAAATGATTACTTTTTCCTGTCTGCTATATAATCTAAATCTCCTCCACCCCATCTCCAAAATCCACAAGAAATGTATCAGAAAGAATATCTGGGATCTTAAAGGCTTGTCTTAAAACAAGTAGTCATCAAAGGAAGGTATCAGATAAGTCCACGAAGAAGAATCGCACCAACCAGTGTGATCAATAACAATAAAATCCAAGATCAGAGGAGGACACTATATGCGGGGTTAAATTCTGAGCACTCGGTTTGCAGAAAGCTATGTTTGACACTGAAAGCCCAAGCCATACCTAGAAGAATCTTTGAGATGGTGAAAAAGATGTGATACTGTTCACAGCAGATTTGTATGTAAACACATATTAGCTTTTGCTTTCCTTGCTTATTGAGTAACACAGCACTGTTCTCCACCTGACCTGAGTTTGCATTTCCAGCAGATGGCTGCTCCTGTCCATGTCCCAGCTACATTGTTCAATTGTCGCTTTCTGTAGACATTTGTAAAATTGAGGGTCCTATTGGCCAACAATTCCTGTGTCATCACCCCTTCACGGTGCCTGTGCCCTTGAGGCCTACGCCCACCATGCCCAGCATTTCTCTGGGCTACTCCTGAAGGCCCCCGGGAATGCTGGTTCGGCTTGCATGTGTTTTGTGATAAATAAGCCTCCAGGCTAGGCCATCTTCAGCAAACAGGGAGCAAAGAGCCAGGTAGTTAGTGCCTAACCAGGGCACAGATTGATAACGGTTAGAACAATCACTAGCCCTCAGGCACCTGGAGCATGGACTATAAGAAACAGCTGAATTAATAAAGAGGGGAGGGGGCTGCTTGAGAGCCAGAAGGTTCTTAGGAAAGATTGTTGACTCCATAGTAGTACTCAGCTGGTGAGGAAGCAGGGGAGGGGGCTTGTGATTCGGTATAAAATGCTTAGGTGGGGGTCTGTGAGGCACCCCTCAGACTCCCTTTTCCCCTCTGTCTCCAGGCTTGGGTGCCCGATTTCGCAAAATCGAACAATAAAGGCCTTTCTCTCGCTACAGATGGGATTTCTTGAGCGGCGGTGGGTTAAATCCTGAGAGCCGACTGGTAAACTCACATGGGATAAGGCTGTTCTCCCAGTTCTCGTTTGAGGCTCGTTGGGAC